TGTGCGCGTGCGTGTGGACATGCAGAGTGCGCCCACGTGATGGCGAGCGAGCAAGCGATCCATTCGTTTTTGGCGGTCACGTGACGAGTAGGAGGAGGGAAGGGGAAGGGGAAGGGGAAGGGAAGGGAAGGGAAGGGAAGGGAAGGGAAGGGAAGGGAAGGGAAGGGAAGGGAAGGGAAGGGAAGAAAGGGAAGGGAAGGAAAGGAAGGGAAGGGAAGGGAAGGGAAGGGAAAGGAAGGGAAGAAGGAAGGGAAGGGAAGGGAAGGGGGAGGGAGGGGAGGGAGGGAAGGGAAGGGAGGGAAAGGGAAGGGAGGGGGAAGGGAAGGGAGGGAAGGGAAGGGAAGGGAAGGGAGGGAGTGGAGGGAAGGGAGGGGAAGGGAAGGGGAAGGGGGGAAGGGAAGGAAGGGAAGGGAAGGGAAGGGGAAGGGAAGGGGGAGGAGGGGAAGGGAAGGAGGGAAGGAGGGAGGGGAAGGGAAGGGAAGGGAAGGAGGGAAAGGAAGGGAAGGGAGGGGAAAGGAAGGGAAGGAAGGAAGGGAAGGGGGAAGGGAAGGAAGGGAAGGGAGGGAAGGGAGGGAGGGGAGGGGAGGGAGGGGAGGGAGGGAAGGAAGGAAGGGAAGGAAGGAACTGAACGGAAAGGGGAGGGGAAGGAAAGGGAAAGGAAGGGGAAAGGGAAAGGAAGGGAAGGGAGGGGAGGGAAGGGAGTGAGGACGAGAGCGAGATTTCCACACTTTTAAAGTTAGCATTATTTTCGTTTATGTCTTTAATTAGAAATACTTTCGTAAAAGAAAAAAGAAAAAATAATTATAATAGTAATAATAAACTCATAAAATAAAACGAATCTTGATAATAAAAAAGAAATAATAACAAAAAGAACCGAAAAATAATTACAAAACCTAAGAAAACGAAAAATAGTAGATAAACCGATTAATTCAACTATAACAAATTACAAAACGTAAAACAAATGAAATTAAACCGAAATTAAGATGAATAACGAAAACAAAACTAAAAAAACAAAAATAAAAATAAAAACAAAGTAAAGTTTATTTCTATTTTCACTTTTATTAGTAAAGCGTAGGCTGAGACAGACCTATTTTCGGCGCTCCGGCAAAGGTTAACAAATCGCATATATTCTGGCAAAGTTTGAAAAAAATATTATCATTTGATGTTAAATTGCCCGGGAGGTATATAAAGCACACATGCGGCATTGCAACCATTGTCAGAATATGAATATGTAAAAATATAAATATGTAAATTATATGAATATACAAAATGTAAATATATAAATTACATATTTTCATAAACATTAAAATATATGAAATATGTGAATATATGAAATATGAATATATAAACAAAAGCAAAAATAGACTCGAATGAAATCTCAAGTATTATTTCAAGATTTGATAAAAACGCCTTATAGTAAAGCCGAATAAATAATCAAATCAAATTGTTAAGTACTAAAACAAACAAACTGATAAATTCTCCTATATGCTTATAAGTAAAATATTAGTAATTCTAATAAAACAGAAGCGAGAAAGAAAAATATTTTAAAATCTGAGAAATACGAACCTAAAATAATTTGTCATTAGAGTAACGAGTCTAAAGAAAATACAAATTATAAATCAACAAATAAAATCTCTAGGAGCAATCATACTGTAAAAATCACAAAACCTGAATATCGCGAAAAAGTAAATAAAATACTATTAGATAAAAATTCGTTCACTAGCAGTACAGAGCCTCGTTCATTCACCAACAACATGACATGACATACCTCTATATACCTGTCAACTAATGTTATTCTGGCAGGGAACTAAAGCCATGCTTAAATTCATCGAGATTCTCCTAACTAAGAAGAAAAGCTAGTAACAGACGTACAATACGAGAAAACGTAATAACATACCGGTGTTTCTCGATGTTTTTGCAGCCGTCTGATGTCACGTCAAGGTTGCCATCTAGCGGCTGCTCGACGAACCTTTATATTTTATACATATGTGGCTCTTTTTTTAATAAGACATTAATGGTGCTAGTGTCCTTTATGTGATGTCTATTCAGATAAATGGACTTGTTTTTTGGTTAATGCAGATATCTAGGTTTTAAGCATTATCGACCGCTAGCTCCAGAATATTCTTGCTATGCTCAGCTTTTATTATTATTATTATTATTTTTTTTTGTGTGTGAAACAGAAGCAAATACTTCGAGTCAAGAAAATAGCTGATAAATAATTATTTGGTAGCGGGCAAACAAGGTATTAATACCTGTGATATTGATTTTTTTTCTGCTACATCAGTATATACAACTGTTACGACCAATAACGTAACAATTATAATCAGTAATATGGAAATCTGTAACACGGACATATAAGATAAATTAAATCATAATATAAAAACTAAATCATACTGAATCCACAGAATCGAAATAAGAGAGAGAGAAAAATCCAATCTCAGCAGACGACGTCAATAGAATAACCCTTTATACCAAAAAGAACAGAAAGAACACACACCTA